AAAATTTTGTTTAAATAAATTTTCTAATAAATGATTTTAAGATATTTGATTTCATTTTGATACAACAATTTTTTTATTTAGTAAATCAATTTAAAAGGAAAAATTGTTGATAAATAATCATAAACTTTGAATTTTCAACTTCATAAAAATAACTTATTTTTCAAAAAATTATGTTTATAAATTTTAGCTAATTTTTCAAATAACCAGCTTTTGTTACATTTTTTTCTTCTATAAATACACCTGAAAATGAAAAAAAAACATTTCACAAACACACGTATATAAAATTGAAATAGATTCAAATTTATCTATTAGAATCAAATTTAGTACTGTGACGAACTGTGGACAATAATCAAAGAAAATAGATTATTATCAATTGTATTAATAAGTGTTAAGTTCGTTGTTTTGATCTAGGAATACAACATATAATACAAAGTTAAATAGGATAAATACAAGAGAAATGTTATTTCCATCTCTATCTTTACTTCTTTCCGTCCTTCCATTTTTATCAATCTTCATACTAGCTAATAACATCTTTTGAATTTAACATTCTAGAAATTAAAATTTAGAACTATTAAATATTTTTCTTTGACATTTTTTAGAGTTCCAAAAATATAAGTTTTCAAAATATAAGTGGTCAGTAAGATGTAAGATTGCATGAACACGAACATTTAGATGTAGATGATGCAAATAGAATAAAAAAAGAACATATGAATAGGAATAAATGAAGAATGAGAAAAGGAAGATTCATATCCATCATATAAATATGACTAATAACACAAACCAATTAATCTCTCATAAATCAACTTCAGAAAAATCTGAGTTTAGTACATGTGAAAGACCACGAGTCATCTCCCTAAATATGTTGCTTGGATTATTGGACATTTGATCGACAACTAGACACCTTTTTATATGTTAAGAAACAATAGAGAAATCTCGAAACCCATCATTCTGAAACCAAATAAAAAAGACAATGAACAATAAAATACTGTCTTCTAGAAAATCAATTTTAAGAATGTTAAATAGTTTTGAAATTTTAAATTTTAAATTACGGGAAGAAAACGGGTTTATAAAAATTAACTTTTGTAATTCAACTTTTTACATAAATATGTATTTTTATCTATAAAAATATTACAAAGACAATAACAATAATATGGTTGAAACATAAAATCTGATATATATTACTCCATCTTCTCATGAAAAATACGGTAGGTAAATTGGGCACAATAGTAAGGAGTGGGGACTCATGCTGGCGTGGTAGTGATTGTTTTTGTAATTGATAAAAAAAATATTCAATTTTAAAAATTGAACTTTTGTTTTGTTCTTCATTTGTTTTTGTCTTGTAAGAACTAATGTCTTCCGTCATTTTCTCTCTGTCTTTCTTTGTTATAGGGTGTTGGCCTTCTTCACACCACATGTGGGACCCCAAATTATGTTGCCCCTGAGGTAAAATTGGTTATACACAACATGGACGTCATTCATAATTGTTGCCATGATCTTTAGCTGCTTTCCATATGGGTGATGGGCCACTTGTTTCAGATTAACAGTTTGATGTAATTCTCCATATCAAGTTTAGTTATGGTTTTATGAACGAATCACTGGTGATAAAATAGATCATTAGTATTGACAAGGATGGATCCAGAACTGTCAAAGGGCGCCCCAATTTTTTTAATAATAAATTTAAATAAATGTTAAAATATAATTGTTAAATTAAATACATCATGCCTTTTTTTATCTAACTTGTGAGTTTCGTTATTTAAATCATAAAATTCATCAGCAATAAAATGTATATCAATTTTTAATCAATCTCTTAATATAATCATATATTTATCATAATAAATATATTTCATCATAAAAATATAAAATATTTTTCCAAAGAGTCCAGGGAGAGGGGAGTGTCCTCTGCATTACAACTTTTTTGTTTTTCTCTAAATTCAAACTTCAACACATCCCAAAAGAAACATATTAAGTGTGAATATGCATGTGGTTCTATTTTGTATGCATTGTTCAATTGCTGGATGAAAGAGACTTAAGGGATTTAATGTAGTTTCCATTTGATTCAAATCTGTATTATTACGAGAGGTTGTCACAAGTCACAAGAGATTGCAATCTGCTCAACCCCTGGGGTTTTAGCCTTCCATTAAGATGGAACAGAAACAAAAATAATACAGACAGAAACGAAAATGGAACAGAAACCGAAAATGGAAATGAAAACGGAAATGGAAATGAAAGTATTTCTTCAATGCAAATGGTTCAGGTTCAGTTCAGATACAAAAATGCATACATAATAAGAAGAGAAGAAGAAAGTAAAACGAAAATGGCAGCTAAAGAGAGCCAAAAGTAAAAGAAAGCAACAGAGAACCAAAACGTAAGAACATTGTAGCTCCAGAGAAAATAAACGTAAAGAATGAGGGTGGTGGCTACTGTTCACGTAGGCTACATCAACCTCTCATGTTAGTGGCTGCCAAGTCATCCCTAACCCTAACCTAGACCTAAAACGAAATTGGGCCCAAACAAAAATACAAGTCTGACCCAAGAGAGAATAAAATAGCCTACAACTAAAAATGAATGTTGAGGTGGAAAATGGTGCAGCGATGACATGGCAGATGACGTGACAGCTCCACTTGAAGTCCAGAAATTAATTCCAAGCCCGAATAATTATTAAACTGCCCTGAAAATAAAATTTTGGAATAATTAGATTCTGAAAACTCAAATTAGTTAAAATATGAATTACCGGTCCAATTAAAGCCCAAATAGAAAACAGTGGATATAATCAACAGTTAAGCGCAAATTAGAGATTAAAATAAGTACAGAAAGGTAAGAAAATAGGGGAAAATAATGACTCATCAAATTCCCCCACACTTAGCCTTTTGCACTCCTGGGCAAAATCAAAAAGCAGAGCAAGGAACAATTCCAAAGACAGCAAAGAGAGTGACACAACATGAAGAAACATGTTATGCCTCTTGATTGCTTGCACAGTTGCCTTGTCTTGACTCTGTTTGACACTTCTTGATTCACATTCATGTTTGGATATGATTAAGGCATTTTTGTTCTGATAAGCCTCTGGCCAAATAAGCCTACCTTGAATTAACTCCTCTGATAACCCCTGCTGAGCCTATTTCCCCTTTTTGTTTGAAGCTCATTATAAGCCTTAAGCAAAAAACCATGATTACCTTAACCTTAGGGAGTTTTGGAGCTTTGGAATCGTTTTAGGAACAAGTTCTTGAATAAGTGTGGGGGTGTGCGTATGTTTCATTGGATGATGTATATTGGCCAGTTGATCTCTTATGCTGTACACTTTACTTCTCTGCATGTTATCTTATTCATGTGTACTGTTCACTATGTACTGTTCATATTTAAATTCAAAAAAAAAAATTCAAAAAAAAATTCAAAAAATAAAAAATAAAAAAAATGAAAAAGAGAAGTTGTTTGAGGCAAATAATTTAAAATATAATATATTTTTAATCTCTATATTTACATTTTTTAAATTATTTTTAGTCTATATTATTAATATTTTTTTATATTATTTAGGAAAAAGATTTTATAAACAATGAGATATCACTTAATAGTTTATTATGTCATCATCAACAATTTAATTATTTATGTGGGTCATATTCGATTAGTAAATGTTAATTGTCTATAAAATCAAAGATGAGTCTATGAACAAAAGAGTGTGGGTAGCTGCTCCTACTAATTTTTTTTACCATTTAAAAATTATAATACACATTTATAATTATGAATTATCTTAATAATTTAAAATATGATAAAAAAATTAAATATAATATTGCTCCATACTAATTTTTTTAATTTAGTTATTCTCATTATTTCAATTAGGTTATTCTTAATATTATTTTTCTTTTTTTTTTTATTTGAATTTTACACATTATTTTTTGCAACCGACTAAAAACATTCTTTTCCATTTTGTCAAATTATATTTTTTTTGCCTTTACATATAAATGAGTTTTATAATTGTCTATCATTTCGGTCTATTGTATTTTGTTTCTATTTTTAATTTAATTTTAGCAGTATTTTAAGAAACTATCGATAATTTAAAATAATTTTATATTAAAATTTAAATTATTTACAACAATGTATAAAAGGAATACGGAGACTTTTAATTTAAAATGTCTACCATTTTCACTCTTAGTACTCTATCATTGTAAATTAATCACAATTCTTCTTCTACAAGATTAGTTGATCATCTTAACCTTCTATCAATAAACTTTTTATTATTTATTATTTATCTTTTATTTTGATTATTTTACATTTTTTATTAAAATAAAACACATGTTTCAACTCTACTAACTAATTATAAATTCAAATTTTGGTTTATATATTTGAATATATTTATTTATTATAAATTTAATTATAATTTAATTTAAACAATGTAAAATATTTTTTTTGAATTTTAATTATATATATATATATATATATTTTTTTTTTTCTCTCACAACCTAATTTTTTGACTCATCACTATACAAAATCATCTCAATTTTTTAAATTTTTTTTCAAATACATCACTATCACATAAATGTAATAAGTCCACATCACTTACACAAAAATATTATAAAAAAATTAATAATATAGATATAAAAAATATAAGTATAAGAACTAAAAAAGATTTATTTTAAATTATGAAAACTTAAAAATAAAGTTAAAAAAATGTATTTAAACCATAATTTGTTCTTTAAATTAAACATTTATTTTAAACTAGTGAATTTGGTTCTGTGGATGAGAAGAGTATGGTACTTGAAACTTGTGTTTGTGACCTAAGCCGGGAAACGAGCCGTGTGAGCCGCATGAGAAGTGGAATAGTTTTATTTATTATTATTTACATTAAATAAAAAATGAGTTATGGTTTATATTTTCTCGGGAAAAAAAAAAAAGAAAAAAGAAAGTGGAACGGCGCATGAGTCAAGAGAAGTCACTGTCCCAAATTGTTAGTAGAATAATATAATATATTTTGATTTTGTCATTCCAAGTTTTCCCACACGCTATCTCTTTCACTTTCACTTCACCTTTTGCACAGCACAGAACCAACACTCTCTCTCTCACTGTAATTTTCTTCCGGCACCCTCATTGTCACTCAGACTTGTGTCCCTAATGTAAATATCATTTTCCACCCTTTTCTAAATATCTCCTTAAACCTCAATGCCATTATTATTCACTCTTCACTTCTTCATCCCTTCAACCTCTCCCAATTTTCCATTCTTTTTTCCCTTTCCATCAAGTGATGCATCTTTTTCAAGCTAATTAACCTTCTATTACTTGCTGCCCTTTTTTTAATTCGTCGACATAAACACTCTTCTGCTTTTTCTCTTGTGGTTCTGTGCTACTGCTTCGAGATTCAGGAACTGGCTGTGAGGTAATATATTTGCTAGATCTTCATTTTGTTTTTTTGATTTTTTTTTTTGCTTCATGGGGTCTTTGTTTTTGGTGGGCATTGGGGGATCTTTGTTGTTTGTGGCTTAAAATGTTTATTCCCTTGAAGGAGTTATTTGCTTGATGAATCTTTGCTTTGCTTCCTCTTCAGCTCTCAACTTCTTATTGACAATTGAGATCTGGTTTGTTTCATATTTGTTTATCTGTTCCTTTTTATTTTGAGATTTGAAAAAAATCTGTTTTTTTTTTTGGTTGTTCTACCATTTGAGTAAATTGAATATTTGGAGATACTCGGAATTCATTGGTGGAAGGCATTGTTTTCACCGACTCCCATTTTTCTGAAAGTTTTGCATGATTGTATCCCCTTTCCTTTTATCGTGGTTGCTGTAATTGAGATGTTAATTATTGCCTTGTCTTATGGATTATGGAGAACCAGAACCAACTTTATTTCTATTTGTTCTTGCGGAAGAAATTAGAAATTCATTTTAAAAGCTGTGGCTGCACATCTGATTATTGTTTCAAAAGGAATGTTGAGATTACTATGTTGACTGGGAAAAAAAAAGCTAATGCTATTGTGTCTTTTTACAACATTTCAAACTAGATGCACTAATTTGCTTATGTCTACTTTAGTGTAGTAATAAATGTGTTTGTCTTCCTTCCCTTCTGGGGAAATTTTCATTTTAAAATGTACAATTAATGGACCTGCTTTTCTGTTTTAAGTTTTTGTAACGAGACATGCAACTGCAAGTGACAACTACATTTTCTTTACCATAGGAGGATCTCTTGATGTAGAAGATACCATTTCTCATAATTGTTTTAAGGTATTTTGATATGGATTTCTATGTAGATGGTATTTGTTGACTTAAAGAATCATATGCTTGTTTAAGTGGTATGGTTTACCATTCTCTCATTACTCCTCTTGTTTCATATGAAGACTACTTCAACTTGGGGGTGTCATTGACATAAATGCAAACAATTTTGAATTCGAAGGCAGTTATTGATTACTTAAACCCCTGAAAGACATGCAGTCAGCCTTCTTTCTGCTGAAATGAAGAATTTGCAGGTTCTCCTATTATATGCTTTTTATCTTGGTAGTTGGTACATAGTTTGCGATATTCTCTATGGCAATGGTTAGTCCTATGGATCTAATACACTTGGCTGTATTCGCTGTCAACCTTGAGAGTATTCATGCATGATATTGTTCCTTTTAAAATATAGTTATAACCAACCCTTTATACATGCCGTGCTGTTGCTGAGAAGGATAAATTTACCCTTAGGAAACTACTTAATTCGATCAACATAAGCATATATTTTCCCTGCATTAGCTGAATCTGTAACAAAAAATGAACCATCATTGCGCTTTGATATATTTTGCGTTCACCCATCTATCAAAGTTGAAAAAGCGAAAAGTTTCTAATTTACTAGCTTTAATAAATAATTTTAGCCCAATTTGTTATTAGTAGTACTGTAGTAGTTCTATAATTCTATTGTTTTTTAGGGCTTTTGGCTCCTCGGTGGGATCCCGAGCTATTCTCACAAGCTTTTATTCTTTGGTCGACTATGGGACTAATCCTTTGTATGGAACTTAGTCACACTTAAGACTCCTCGTCCCTCCCTAAGGATGTATTCAGTGAGAATCATACCTAGGTCCTCCTCCACAAAGTCAACATGTGTTGCTAACTGAGCTACACACGTTGGGTTTTATTATAGTAGTTCTATAATTACTGAGAGCACATTCTAATTGTGTTTATCTGAAGTTTCCTTAATTCTTCCTGTATAATATTTTTTTTAGTTTTGGGTGTCTGTCACTTGATTTGACTGGAGGCAGAAGGATTTTGTTTGTGTTTGAAGCTAATTTGGTTGTTTTGGTGGAAAACCCTGATATGATGTGCACTTATAGATTAATGAGAAAATGAATGCTCAGTTAACTTAAGGAGTTTTACAGTAATACATGGAGATGATGGTTTGTGTATTTATAATTTAAAGAAAGGGAGGTTTGCGTGGTGGTTTGTTATCTGTCACCAGTGTGGCCAGCAATAACTAATGGATAAGTCAATGGGTGACAAATCCCTCTGAATCTAATTGTTGTATAATCGGTGGAATGAAGGTCTATTACTTTATTGAAGGAAGTTATATAATTCTTTTCTCAAAATTGACCATGATGGAGGTTAATGAGAGGCAAAATTCACTATTTCCCTGAAATGTACTTCAATGTCCTTGTCATTTCCAGTTGTCTAATTTATTGTAATGCTTTGTTAAGCAAACTAATGTGTACATATTTAATGCTCTAAAAGATTAATGAGCTTTGGGCTGTTGTATTCAGTATTAAAGAACATTTTCTGGTTTTCTATTCTCATAGTGATGCAAACTCTGCCCGATCTTCTAGATTTCCTTCATAACACTTGTAACTCCTGCATATATTATAATTAAGCTAAGCTAATCACTTATGGATTTGCAGAGCTCGGAAGAATTACAGTCATCAACTCAAGCTTCTCATGAGCCCAAGAGTGAACAACCAAACAATCACACAACCGATGCTCCTGTTACAGACACAGGCTCAGCATCTGCTTCAAGTAATGACAGCAAAAAGGTTTCACGGCAGGATATTGAGTTTGTAAGGATTCTGTTCTTTCCTGGGCATTTGTCTAGTTTTCTGTTATTGCCTTCTTCCATTTGCTTCCTATATCTTGTGGATTGAATTTTAATAAAGGATAATTTGCTGATACTAATATGAACTGAACTGAGATGTTTTTTTGTTTGTTTTTATATAAATATTCAACCTTTTGTAGGTCCAGAATTTAATAGAAAGGTGCCTACAGTTATATATGAATAAAGATGAAGTGGTTAAAACACTATTGACTCGGGCAAAGATAGATCCCGGATTCACGACTCTCGGTAGGCATCTTAAGGTCTCTGTCATGCCATTTATGTATTGCATTGTACATTGCAATTAATAATAGTCCATTTAATTCACTACTCGTAGAAAACCATTGTATCCTTATTAATGATTTCCATGTTATATTTAATCGAAGTGGTTTCTGATCCATGGCTTTGATTACATGGAAATCAACATAAATTGATAGTTGAGATATTTTGCTCTTAGAAAAAACATGGCATTACTTGTCTTCTTGCATATTTTCCGGATGCGAACTCATGTCCCATTGCTTTGTAATTGATCTTTTTAATTCAGTATGGCAGAAGTTGGAAGAAGAGAATACGGATTTCTTCAGGGAATACTATATCAGGCTAAAATTGAAAAAGCAAATAGTTTTATTTAATCATTTACTTGAGCATCAGTATCATCTGATGAAGTGTCCCATGCCTACAAAGGTTCCATTGGCTCCAATACAGAATGGAATCCATCCTGGTAAATTCTTGCCCTCTTATTAGTGTGTATTAGAGTGTGTGTGTGTGTGTTTAAAACCAAAATATCTTCACCTCCTTCCAAGACTAAAAGTAAACTGAGTTGAGTGTGTGATGGCACTTACATTTCACTTCTCATGTTTTGTAATAATTCTTTTTGCTCTCTAAACTACAAAATCATGAGAGAGATATTCACTAAAAAGGGTGTGAGACACCAAATTGTGATTTCCAATAAATTTCAACCAATTAGATGGACTGTCTTCACAAGAGTGAGTTCCTAGCATTTCTCTAATGAACAATTATCTTAATTGATCCTTATTGATAAAATAAAAATAAAGAGATTCCTAATTAGTAGGATCATATCAAATAAATATCCCAATTGATAAAATAAGGATCTGTAATCAGTACTCTGGTATCCAGATCTAATTGAAATAGGAAAAAATAAAGAAACAAGAAACTGAAATGAATCAAGATTTAAAGAAGGGATTTGATTATCCCAATGGTCCACGTCAACATCTAAGGGTGTGTTTGGGAACTAGTTGAGTTGAACTCAATTAGGGTTGAAAAAAAAGTCACACAAGTTTTTTTTGCATTGGAATATGTGTTTTTTTTCTTTAAATGTAGTTATAAACTGGTATCCAAACATACACTAATTTTTTCCGTTTTAAAATATATATTTGTTACCACAGCACTCATTTTGATATATATATATATATATATATATATAGAGAGAGAGAGAGAGAGAGAGAGAGAGAGAGAGAGAGAGAGAGAGAGAGAG